GCCCGTTGCACATAATACGAAGAGCCTTTGAGAAGACAGATGTTAATTATTTGGAGGCAAATCAGATCACCTTGGACTCAAACCCTGAGCTGTAATTTTGTTGCTCAGGTTCTTGGTCCTGAAATTAATGCAGATCTTTACATTTGTAATTTTACTTGCCAACGCCAACCTGCCCACACAATCTGTAAATGACTGCTCTGAGTCAGAAACTATTCAGTTACGATTGTGTTAGATATTTAAGAACATTCTCTGGAAGGATTAAATCACCTAATCCCGATCCTTTCACTGATTCTGCTTTATGTAAAAATCATGGAGCTGGAGGACGTTTACACTGGAAGAGACTTTAGAGTTTTGTCTTCTCCCCGAATTTCTCCTTTCCTGGATGAGAAACTAAGGCTCTGATGGTACAGCAACTTGGTCCCATGTCACTCACTGACCAAAGCTAAAACCCCAAAGAAAAGTACTGCTTTAGGGTTTTAAAACCTAGAAGTCCTTGCCGAGTCCAGAATCGACCCTTCTCCTGCCCTCCGGCCTCCGACAGCATCCGAGAGTCCTGCCCCCTTCCCAGCCTGACATTCTTCAAGAATCATGCCATTTTCAATCTAACTGGTCAGAATATGATTCCGATAAATCAGCTACTGTTACAACCGTAAGCATGAATTTTGGGGGAGATGTTAAACCCGAAACTGCTAATAACAGTTACCTTTGAGGAGGGGAAATGTGGATGGGAGAGGCAGGATAGGGAGATATTTTTCATTTTAAATCTTGTCTTTGCTCTTTGATTTTTATTGCCAGGCACACACATTAATTGTCTTTAAAACCTGAAAGGTGATTTAGAAATGCGCTCACAAACTTCAAAGGAGAAATATAATTTACTCTCGTAACACCAGTGCTTACAAATCCATTATATACTACAGAGTTACTTTAGCATTTTTTTTCTACCTAAGTATCCACAACGACAGAATGGGTTCCCTGAGGAGTCCGGGGACAGTGCCAAAAACGGCCCTTGTATATAAGAACTCTCTCTTCGCAGTTTGTGGTTTTAAAATGCCTTCAAATTGATAGACTCTCTAGTATATCTTCATCTCTTTTAATACAAAAATAATGGCTTAAATGACTTACCGTCCACGAAAACTGTCCCTCTGGGAAGACACCCCTCGTTTCTTCCTGCAGCAGTCCGGAGCTCCCGCAGCACACTGCCTCTGGTGACTGAGTGGAGAGGCCCCCGGAATGGGCAGTGCGGCTGTGCACAAGCTGACCTGTATTCTGGCTCTCTCACCTGGAATCAGGCTTCACGGATCCTGTTATGCATTGAATGGTAACAAAACAACAGCATAAATTAGGGTGTTGCTAAGATTGTGTACCATCCATGTTCACATGAGCATAATGGACATAATGAATTCTATAGCACTATCCTGCACAGCTTGGAGAGATTAAAACCACTTTGTCTTTAAATTAAATTTCAAAAATCATTGAACAACAAGAATAGCAAGAACAACAACAACAGAACCCCCCACCTCATGTATGTCAGCCACCCAATTGCAGGAGGCACCACTTCTTACTCTCTGATCATTAATGCCTGGTCCTATGTTTATTTTAATAGCTGCCAGCTCAGTGAGTCCACATCTATTGTAACAACCATAAAGGGGGCTTGGGTCCTCTTCTGTTGTGTATGCAGCCCCAAGTGGAGAGCCTCTTATCCCCTTTCAGAAGCAAAATCTATAACTGAAAAGACCTAAGTTGAAGTTTATTTTCTATAAATGCTATGCAATACTGTGTGTCTAGGCTACGGTAGAAAAAGAAAGGAGGACTTGAATTCACTCTTATGTAGTGCTCTACTCAGGCAGATCTTCGCTCGACAAAAAGGGGTGCCCAGTTATGAAAAAACAAACCTCTTCCCAGAACACCTTCTAGATGCCAGGCATGTGCTTACTGCTCGACACGTTTTATCTTAATTGACTCTCACTCACAACACCCTTAAGAAATAGGGCTGGCATTCTTACATTCCCATTTCACAGAAGAGAAATGGAGGCTCCAGGTGGGAGATTAACTGACTCACGCATTAAAATGCAGGCACTTCTGACTGTAGAGCCCCTAAAATCTGAACGGCTTCATTATTAGTTACAGCTGAGTGTTTATTATGTATGTGCTATGGGAGATGGTTTGAGGAAATGATTTTTGCAGCAATCCTCTGAGGCAGGCATTGTTATCCTTGATTTATGGATAAAAAATATTGAGCCTTAGAGAAATGAAGTAGCTTGCCTAACAAAACAATCAAGTGGCAGTCCCGATTTTTAGTCTGGGCCTGTTACCAGAACAAGTGGTATTTTGTCTTGTTTTCTTAAAAATCCTTCTCTTTGGTAAGCACTCAGAAGGCATTCTTCATCTCCTAACTCTCCCACAGGAAGGGAAGTATGATCATCAATCGCAAATGACATTTGCAGAAAAGAAGCATTAAGAGCCAGCTTCACATTCCGGAGAGAATGTGCCTCCTCCTGTCAATCAAAACCATTTAACAACTAAGCTAGACTATGACTCAGGTGCTTGGCCAGGGAGCACGATAAACTCTAGGGTCTCTCAGGCATTAATGTGCGCCATTATCTGTCAACAGCCCTTCTAGTTCTGTGTGTGGGATGTGTTCCTCAGGACTGAGTTTTACTTGTGCACATTAGCTATTCTATCATTTTTCTATGTTTAATGCGCTGGCTTCACAGACAGGGTGCTTTATTCTTCATAAAAATCTCATGTCACAGGCAAAAATCCACTGGGTTTCTGAACGCTAATCAAGAGTTACAGGCAGGGACAAGGGGAAAAAATGAGAACCAAGACCTGTCATGTAAAGGTACAAGATCCCAATAATGAATGTAACTGTACTGTATACCTAAAATGTACCAATAAACTCAATGAGGAAAAATAAAAAGAGTTACAGAAATTGCAAACACTCTTGTTTGGCTCCCAAATAAAGTCTTATGCAGAAGAAATGTGAATGTTCTCCATTGACTGGAGTTACTAGTATACTTGGCAAAATGCAGGTGCTAGCTCCTTTTTGGGAAGTCTTTTGAGGTTGGAGCTGTCATCTAACGTGCTCCATTATCTTTTAGCAGTCCTGCAATCTCAGCACTTCATATAGGCACCAGCTAATCCTCTGTTCTGAATGAGATTAAATAAAAATGGCGTGAGTCAGGTGAAGGTTGATAAAGGAAGGCTACTGGCTGAAAACTAGTTAACTACAACTACCTTGCACCTTAGGAAATTGTTTAAATGAAGTGATATTCACACTGACAAATGCAACCATTTTAAACCGAACAATTCACTTTATACAATTGCACCTCAGTTCACAAATGCTTTTTTGTACTGGGGATCGAACTCAGGACTTTGTGATTGCCAGGCAGGCGGCGGAACCACTGAGCTAAATCTCCAGCCCTCACAAATGCTTTTGTTTGTGAAGTTTGGCTTGCAAACAGAAGTGTTTGGCAAAATTTTGTTTTTGTTTCCAAACTCTGCATTTGGTGACAAACACCACTGTGGCCATCTTTCCTGCACGAACATGAATGTGGCCATATTTTCCAGGATCATAGAATAAGATGAGGTACAGTACTGCTTTTTTTGGTACTGGGAATCCAACTCAGGACCTTTCTTTTGCTAGGCAGCACGGCACCAGAGCTACATCCCTGGCTCATAGAACAAATTGAGTTTATGAAGAAGTACCAGTATAGTTCTTGGTTAATAACCACAGGACTTGGCAGTGGGTATGTGGTACTTTCATGTGAAGTACTGAGGATTAATCCTAGTCTTCTCACTGAGCTACATCCCCGGCCTTTTAAAATTTTGAGACAAGGTCTCACTAAATCCCTAAATTGCCCAGGCTGGGCTCATACTTGAAATCCTCCTGCTTCAGCTTCCCAGAGTGCTGGGATTGCAGCTTATGTGTATGTATGTGGTACTTTTTGGAGAAAGCACATTTAACTATCTATATAGGACAACTAATTTTGGATACACTGGGCCCAAATTTCATTTTGCTAACATACCGGAGATGGTTTTTTTTTTCTCTTTCATTGAGCTTATTGGTACATTTTAGGTATACAGTACAATTACATTCATCATTGGGATCTTGTACCTTTACATGCCAGGTCTTGGTTCTCATTTTTTCCCCCTTGTCCCTGCCCTCCCTTTACCCCCTCCTCCCCTCCCCCTTTACAAACACTTCATTTCCATTTTTTCATTTTCTTATATTTTTTCCTTTATTACCTTTCCCCTACCCTATCCACTTCCCCCACACCTTTAGCCCTTTTCTTCCTATTTCACATTGTCAGTTATATCATTAGGATCTTATGTACCATTATAGTCTTTCACACCAGGGAAACTATTCGGTATTTATACATGTGACTTATTTATTTCACTTAGGAGTATATCCTCAGTATGTATTCATTTTCCTATGAATGAGTCTAATTTCTCGTTCTTCATGTTGACAAGTCAGTTATTCTTTAGTAACAAAATGACTATAAGTTTAAAAAGAAAATTCATCTCTCACTTGGGAGGCTGAGACAGGAGGATTGCTCTGCGTTCAAGACCAGCCTGGGCTACACAATGAGTTCCAAGTCAGTCTCAACTACACAGTGAGACCCTGTCTCAAAAAGCAAAAAAGGAAAAACAAAAAAAAAAAGAAAATTCATCTCGGATTGTAGCATTTCCTAAAAAGGTAGCATTTATTCAAATGTAGCACTTACTCTAACACAAAGTGTTTTTTTTCTTTTGGTTTTTTTTTTTGAGACAGGGTCTCACTACATAGTTGAGACTGACCTGGAACTCATTATGTAGCCCAGGCTGGTCTTAAACTCACAACAATCCTCCTGCCTCAGCCTCCTGAGTACTGGGATTACAGGCGTGTGCCACCACGCCCGGCTACTCTAACACAAAGTGTAATTTTTAATGAAAATAAACAGCAAACAAATATAACTGTTTTTAGATTCTTTTATTTCTTCAAATTTGTTATCAAGAGTGACTGAAATAAAAAATAGAATTGAGTCCCATCATTATCATCACGGAAATGGCTTTAGAAGAAAACTGGTCAGATGAATATTATTGCTTCCCGTTTTCAACCAGTAAATAGTTGCCATGATAAACAGACAGCAGAGTCTGTTTGGAATGCTCAAGATATGTTATATGATGCAACATGCCTGTTCCCAGGAAGAACTTAGGAAATGTGACTTATGTGAACTTCTTGATTTCATCATATAAGACAAGCACAAATGCACCACCCATGCCTCGCAGAACATTGGACCATGCACCCTTGAAGAAAGCTTTGCCTCCTTCATCACGAGCAATCTTCCTCCAGCAGTCAAGTGTGCCTGTGTACATGATGTCAGCTGCAAAGAATAAAGACAAGTTGGTGGCTGGTGACCGGTGAAAGTCCTAAAATTCCCTAGACTAAATAAAGAGAGCCCTAGCTCTGAAAACTAAAGTCATTTTTTGGTTTGTTGTACTGGGGACTGAACACAGGGGCTTGCACATGCTAGACAAGCATTCTCCCATCCAGCTACGCTCCCCAGCCCCTAATGTGAGCTTTTAACATAGCATTTACACATCAGCACAACTGAAATATTAATGCCACGATCGGAGAACAGGGATATGAAGACTACTCATGGTCTTACCTCTAATACCATTTAAGCACCCTCATTCCTAGGCATCTAGAGGACCTGCTCACCAGGCAGCTAGGTAGCAGACACAGATGCTATCAACCTGTCCCTCCACCTGAACAGACTGCCCCTTTTAAAGGCAGGCACTGCTAGTTTTGGGCCACAGATCACCTCACACCCATGCCTTTATCTTCTGTCAAGTGGAACTTACTTCCTTTTCGCCCTGACTGCATCATCATGCGGCGGCGAACAGTATCAAATGGATAGGAAGTCAAGCCGGCAACGGCAGTGACTGTCTGTGCAATCATCCAGCTGATGATGATGTGAGTATTTTTGGGATCTGGAAGCATTCCTGGAAATAGGAAAGAGACACTTTTTATCAAGAAGCAGCGTTTTACTGACCAGTTTTCCACCCTCCCCCCATTTCATCTGTATATGAACATTGTATTAGAGGATCCTGGATTCTTCCAGCAATTAGAAATCTCACCAGGTCCTACAGAATATTAGGTTGCCATAATGATCTTTTAAATTGTCTCAGAAGAACATAGCTTCAAAACACACAGCAAACTTACCCTTTGCAGTGTCATAGATACCAAAGTAGGCAGCTCGGTAGATGAAAATACCCTGCACAGACACATTGAAGCCTTGATACAGGCCCTTAATCCCATCAGATTTGTAGATTTTAACCAGGCAGTCACCAAGGCCTTTGAATTCCCTTTCAGCTCCAGCTTTACCCACATCGGCTGCTAGACGGGTACGGGCAAAATCAAGAGGATACACAACGCACAAGGACGTGGCCCCTGCGGCACCACCTGATGCCAGGTTCCCTGCAAAGTAGCGCCAAAACTGGGTCCTCTTGTCCACACCACTTAGGAAGATCTGCTTGTATACATCTTTGAAGGCAAAGTTGAGAGCCTGGGTGGGGAAGTATCTGATGACATTGGCCAGGTTCCCACGCCAGAAGGACAGGACTCCCTGCTCCTTGGGGATTCGAACCACACAGTCTATAATGCCCTTGTACTGCTTATCTGCGCTGATTTGCTTGCTGGCATGCTGCACCTGATGGGCAGGAAGAAGCCAACAGGGACAGTTATAACAATGCAGAATGGAAAGAACATACACATACATATCCTTTCTATCAATGCTCTTTAAGGTTGGCTCCACTTTTTCCAAATCTAGTCTTCTACATCACACAGGGTGACGGTGTCACAGGGGCAAGAGGTGACCTGCACCATCAGAGGCATTAAGCCTCCACCCCTGTAGGTAGGGAGGGAGACAACCTCGAGCGGATGTGTGACCTTTAGACCTGAGAGAAAGGTCATTTACCTCAGTCTCAGATTCAGAGGCATTAGGGCGAGTCCCACACAGGGCGCAGTCACCTTGGTTAACGTCTCAGGTCTCCTGAGCTGCTTCCTTCCCGCTCCGCCCCCACTCCCTCCTGGAGGTGAACTGAGAGCCACCACCCCTACGCTCGCGCAGGCGCGCCCTCTAGAGCCGGAGCGCACGCAGGCA